TTAGAATTGTAAAATAGCAACTACTTTTTGAAATGTGAAGTTAGATAACCTTTCTGTTCAATTAAATTTGCTAGTTTTTTGTGATGTTACATTGTTATATTTAATTTGTTTTAAAATTACAATTGATGCATTAAATTAATAGAGTAATGAATTTTTTTTTTTAAATTATTTTTGACACTTTCCGACCACCAGTGGTCGTAAATTATATTCTGTATAATTATGTAGTTAATGTTTCCGACCACCAAGTGGTTGGAAAACATTAACTTATAATTATACAGGATTTGTTTTCCGACCGCTGGTGGTCAGAAATTCCGACCACCAAGTGGTCGAAAAATCTTGGCAACCAACTTTTTCATGTGATGAAATTTCGGACGCCACTATTTTAGTGGACGGTATTTTCGACACCCTGCATGGGGTGGTCGGAATTTCTGACGAGCGTTTTTCCGAATCCCAATTCCCAAAAGTGGTCAGAACAGTGGTTTCTGATCGGATTTTGGCGATTTCCGACCACTTTCTGGTGGTCGGAAAATTGCTGATTTCCAGCAGTATTGTTACCAGACAATAGTTATTGCATGGACCGTGGTCTACTCAGTTGTGTGCTCCACGGTCCAAAAATGACTTTATTTTGCATTTATTTTTTTTCACGCGCTCAGCTGCAACATAAATTTTTATAACTCATAATGTACATTATTCTAAAACACAATATACATTATTTTAAAGCATAATGTACACTATATTACCCCAGATGTTTCATTATTCTAACACGTAATGTACATTATTTTAGCACATAATGTACATTATTCTAACACATAACGTATATTATTCTAAAACTTATGTACATTATTTTAACACATAATGTACATTATTTTTATTCATAATATTCACGATGATATTTTGGACCTTAGTTTACACAATAATTTACCGTTACTAGGATGGTGGCTTTGATTTAACTGACTCCATTGGGCTAAGATGTCCCTTAAGGTGAGGTTTAATGGCCCATAAATCCCAAGTTTAATAAAATCCAATCATGCATGAGGTGTATTGGCACAATCGTTATATCGTAGACCGCGGTGCACATGCATCGTGGTAAAAAAAATGGCGCCATTTCTTTAAGTAAAGAAATGGCCCGCCGATACCGTTAACGGAGTCCGCATGTTTGGTGTATTAAACACCAACTGACTCTACAGTATATCTAAACTGACATTGCCTCACGACAAATGAAACTGTAGTTATATCAAAATGATATTGTAGTTGTGGTGAAATGAAACTGCAGTGTATATAAAATGAAACTGAATAACATTTCACATATTTGAGTGTATATTGTACAATGAAGCTGTAATTATATCAAAATGATCATGTAGTTGTGTTTTAATAAAACTATAGTGTATATAAAATAAAATTAAATAACATTTTCACATATTTGAGTCTATAAATATCGAATGAAACTATAGTTATATCGAAATGAAACTGTAGTTGTGTTTAACTGAAACTGCAGTGTATACAAAATGAAACTGAATAACAGAGTTACTTTTTTCGGAAGGGTGCGGAACGGGGGAAAACGAATGCCGTTTCTTTTCATTTAACAAAACGACGTCGTTTTGATGCACGGTGCATAATCGATTATACACCGCGGTGCACGATATTTTTTTTTTTTTTTGAAAAATCAATCTGCCGATTGTATTAATTAATGAAAGCTATAATAGCGTCAGGAGGGATAGACTCCCAATACATAGAATGTTCCTGAGTAAAAGCTAACGAAGCTAAAGTATGAGCATGTAAATTAATCTGTCTAGGCACATAGCTTAACGAAATAAAATTAAATAAAGACATCATTGTCTTGTACTGGTCAATTACCAACCCAGCATACGAGTGAATGGGTGTAGTCTGGTGGTGTATGGTAGTTCGCAGCACCATACAATCCGTGAGCAGATTGGCCGAATTGATATTTCTTTCAACTAACCAGGACAGCGCCTCTTTAAAAGCCATAGCCTCCGCCATGAGTGGTGAGAAACAAACGGGTGATCTGCCATTCTTCGCTGCCACAAATGAACCTCCGGGCTCTAATAACACAATTTCATACGTAGCCTCCCCTATTTTCTGCCGATACCCTGCATCTATATAGCATCGCATATGATTGTCGGGCAATACCGGTTCGGATTGTGGCTGTACATCTTCTCGCATGGGCCAGTCGTGCCCGCGGTGCACGATATAATTTGCCGTATTGGCAAGAGTTGGCCACTGTCAAATTTTTCAAATTCCAAGATTCCCCTTAAGGTGAGGAAGCGGATTAGGGAATTAGGGCTGGGGGCTGGGGCTAGCTTCTTTGGGCGATGGAATAAGTTTCATCAGTGAATTAAGTTCTTTTAATTGATTTAGGGAATTAGGGCAATGGAATTAAAAAATAAAAAAATAATAAAAAAAAAGACGTCATGGTGGGAAAATAAAAAAACACGTCATTTTGCATAATTTTAACTTAAGCACTACCTCTAATGGTTAAGAGCTTAGAGTTAACACGTCTGTCACTCCCACTCATTAAATTAGCCAAAAGATAGCTTAGTCATAGAAGCATTCCAACAACTTAGGCAACAAACCAAAACTTTAAGTCCATAAATTTGGAATCTTAAACATACACCATAACTTCCCAAAAAATCTCAAGGTCCACCTCAAAATGAACTGAACATTATGAGTCTTCTATGCCTCGCAAAATTATTTTGAGCCTTACAAACCAAAATGGCCCATGATCAATTTTGAAAAAACTAAACACTATTAATTTGCTAAATGACAGTGCACCACAAGTTAAATGCTTTTGCTCTAATAAACTCCTTAATATTGTTACAACGTTTACAGAAATATGTTGCACAACCAAATGTTCAATAATTTGAACCTATGAATGTATATGAACAAATACAATATTAATACTTTCGGAATCTTTTGGACTTATTGTTTAACATTCAATTCAATTTGGGATGTATCAATACAATAATTAAATCCATAATCTTTTATGGAGTATCTTAATGATTTTTTTGTAAATGATCACTCCCACTAATTAAAATATTCTTGAGCAAAATTAATGAAACGAACTTAATAATATACACTCGTAATTGATTTGACCAACTAAATAATGAAGATATAATTCCCCACCATTAGTTTGACATACTATATAATCAATATTTAGTTCCAATAATGTGTCCAACTAAAGAGTGAAGATATAATTCCCCACCATAGTTGGAAATACTAAAAAAAAACAAAAAAAAAAACAAAATACATCATCCAAAACCAAGTTAGAATTTGACTCAAAAGATATATTTTATTCTTGGAATCCAAAAAAAAAAAAAAAAAAAAAAGGTATATCATATCACGTAACTTACTATAGTTAGTCCAAAGAACCCATCAAGCTTCGTGAAACAATTAATAAAAGTGATTAAATTTTGAGAAGGGACTAAATACATGTTTTGCCAATGCAAACAATGAAACTTAGGATATGTTTGGTAGAACTTATTTAGGATCTTATAGCTTATTTTAAGCTACTAATAAGCTATAAGCTATGTTTCATAATGTTCCCAAAATAAGCTAGTGGCTTAAAATAAGAGCTTATTTTGAAAAGATACCTTATGCAGCGTTTTAGAAATAAGCTACGAGCTTCCTAATTTTTTTTTCATCTTTATCCTTATTATTTTAAATAAATGACATCTTTTACCCTTCCCAATAAAAATCTTTTAGGTCTTTTCTCTTTTCAATATTTTTATTCATCCTCTCCCGCAACTATCGTCCGTTAATAAATAAATGACATCCTTTACCCTTACCAATTAAAAACATTTTTTCTTTTGTTTTAATTTAATATATATCTCATATATATTATAAAAACAAAAACTTTTTTTATAAATTAAATAAATCTCATATATTTAATAATATAAAAACAATATAATAATCACATCCTTTAAATTTTATGAAAATGTCCTGTTAAATCTTTTTACATTTATCAGCTTATTAAAAAGCTAATTTTAACATAATCAACTAGTTAACAGTTTTTTCAGTTTTCAGCTTCTAGCTTATAACTTTTAAGATTTCAGCTACCTTTTCAGCTAAGTTGCCAAATATAGCCTTACAATTATATATATATATATATATATTTTTTTTGAAAATGCCTTACAATTATATATAATTAAGCTAAATTATAAATTCTAAGAAATTGTGATAAAATTATCACTTAATGGGTTGATGGATTGATTGACTTATTGTCATTGTTTATCTATTTTTCTGTTTTTCTCATTCTCTTTTATGAAATTTTGCTTGACTCGAAGAAAGCATCTCGATAGTCTCGGGGATTGTATCAATATAAAATCTATATTACAATGTTAATCTGATGTCCATATTTTTCTTATTCTAGAACGTATTGAATGATCTAACCTTATAATTCCCCGTATCCTGAATATAACTAAGCTAAGCATTGAATATTAAATTGTTGCTTTCGATCATATTGATCCCAATAAAAACCAGCCAAATACTATTTGTTTTTTTTTTTCAGAGAAATTCTTCACATCTCTTCAAATTTTACATTCCCTTCAATTCAAATACTCTAGAACGTAGCAAAATTCCAATGGTTGTTGCGAAAATAAAGAAAAAAAGTTGTTTATCTTTAAATTAAGCTAATAATTAATAATTAATCCTCAAAAGCCAGTAAAATAGGAACACTTTATATATAATAAAAGTTCTTTTAAAACCAAAATGGAATTGATGATCACACCAATCTCAATGTGTCTTGGCTGTACGTATACTATATATTGATTAATTCAAGAATATGAAAATTAATTTTTTTTGAGTACTATTGACTGTGTTACAATGTAGTATCTGCTTATCCATACTGTCTCAATCTACTGAATTACAAAGAGTCAAAGTCCCCACACTAAAGTTTGAATTCGAAACCTCTCATTTGAGAGACCACTGTAGCTCGATCGCAAGAACTTTGACAAATATGAAAATTAATATAGAGTGGTTTCTCATCACTCATAGAATTTGGTGTAATCATACATAATCTCGAGCTCGGCTCGCGCGGCTTCTTCATCATGGTCGGTGGCCACAAAAGGATAATCTCTCCTAGTTGGTCGAAACATGAAGAAAAGCCCCCAATAACACACCACATTGATTACCTGCTCAACAATAGTAAGCACCCACCGATCCCTCCACCCATTAGTAGAAGCCTTAAACTGGAGAATTGACAACGCCACTCTAGTGATCAAAATGTAGACAAAAATCCCAATGAACAAGTTCCTAAAACACTTCAACATCTCTAGGCTCCTCGCCGCTTTCCCTTCCGTGTCTGCGTTCCTCTTCAACTCCCTCATCGTTGAACCAATGGGCAAAAGGAGAAGCCAACACGAAACGAAGTCGAGTATAAACAAAAGGATAGTGTACGCAAAATAGCCATCAACGAACAGCCCGGTTTCCCATTTGAGGATGTACATAACGCTAGACACTATTTGTACTAGCATCCCTAACCCCAACGCCGCTTGCCCTTCCTTGTGCACAAACGGCTTCAAGACGGTCCAACCCGCCCCGATGAGAAGCACGACCAATACTAGCAACAATGACCGGATTGTGTGTAGGAAATACAGCAAGAATTGCCACCCGTGAGGCGAGCCGGTGCGTTTGATGGTCTCTTGTTCTAGGGAGAGGCAGAGGGAGTCGAGGGCGCGAGAGAGAAGCAATGCGGCCATCAAACCATGGATGGTTTTGGTGGATTTTCGGTTGTAGAGGTGGCAATGTATAGCCCACCATAAGAACAGGAGAGAATAGGCCATGGTGGAGGCCAAGAAAATTGATGGCAACAATCCGGACCCGTCCGAGAGGTAATTCCTCTTACCATTCCTCTCGATATTGTACATCTCAATACTCAAACTCGCCGTCACGGAAGCCTTCTTTTCACAATTGACAAAGAAAAGGAAATACACCTCCGCTTTTGAGATAGTAAACAGCTTTTCTATTGACATGCCGGGATACCCAGAAACATGGTCTAACGTGAAAATGGGGTTCACGTAGGGCTGATCAAACACGCAGTAATCGGATCCCTCGTTCATTCTGTGGAGGGCTTCGCCCAGGAACGGCGACGGGGAAAGGAAGAACGCCAAACGGGAGGCGTTGGCGGTGGTGGGGTTAATGGACACTGAAGAAACGTTGATTGAAAGGCGACCGTTGTTTGTGTACCGAAATTCTTCCAAAATGATGACTTCTCGGTTATCGTTCGAGATGTTAATTGTTTTCTTCTCGGCTTCGGTGCCTGGGAAAACAAGGGAAAGGATAAGAGACAGATAGACGATATGGAAAAGAGGGTTGTGCCTTAATTTCTCCATGGAAACACCGACGGTGGCGTAAGCGGTGTTTCCCGGAGAAATTGAGGTTGGTTAGTCGTCTGCCGGGCACGGTGGTGGTGAGAATGGTGGTTGATTGCAAAAATAATGTTTTTGCATGGCATAAAAAAATGAGGTTGATGTTACGCAATATAAGGGTTTGCATGTTGCGTTATTCGTTTAAAAGTAAACCCAAGTTGACTTTTTTTTTTTTATTTAACCCTGAGAAATTTACGGTGGTCCGTAAACTCAAGTTGGCTCATTGAATTTTGGAGGTAATTGTTACAAGTTGATTGGATAGGGAAATGACATGATATATCTCATAAATAATAAAATTTTAATTTGTTTTTAGAATTAATCAAAGTATGTCAACTAAGTAAAGAATTGTATATCACCATAAAATGCTGGTGTGCACAAGTGATCTGCCCACTTTAAGTGCTAGGGTTTCGAACCTTAGTCTCTTCTTTCGAATACTACCTACTCTAAACCAGTGAGTTAAACCCGCGCGAGCTTATTTAATTTGTTAAATTCTATTATAGTTAGATGTTAGGAACATTTGTAATTTGGATTTTGATTATACTAATAGTTAGGAATTTTAGTCCCCTATTTATTTTGTCTTTTAGACTTAGGTTGTTTCTGCTCAAATTCGAATAGTCCGAATAGTAACTCGTGAAGTCACGTTTTAGAAAGTCAATACAACCCAAATGATAACTCGAAAGGTTACGTTTCGGTTAGTCTCAACAAACTTCGAATGGTTATCTTTCGAATAGCTTGAAAATTGAGACCTTGAGGAGTTGAAGACTGAAGAATCCGAGATGAAGATTCGAAGAGTAGAAAAATACAAGACCGAAAGTATGCAAAAGTCGAATGGTGGAAGAGCCGACCTTTCAAAGTAAAAGGTGGAACGAGTGGTAAGGATAACCATTCCTATCCGAGAGCTAGTAGAGAGTTAAGGTTCGAAATGTTAACTTGAATAGTGACAATTAACCATTCGACAAGAACTGCTCAAGATATATATTCTCTAAGCCAACAGTCTAGAAGCTTAAAACACTAGTGCTTTATGGTGGAATGCGACCAAAGAATAAAGAGTCCTATGTTCACATACATCCCAACGAAGATTTTCCTTAAAAGGCCTAGACATGCATTTTGTGCAGAGCAAAAACATATGTTCAGCGCAAAATAAGTCTCCAATGGCTGAAAAGTCTGACCACCCTACCTAACCTCCGGATTACCCGTTGATTTTTACAAGTTGGTCAATAGATGTTTGAAATGAGTTTCTCTCCAACAAACATATTTCAAAAACGCCTATAAATACCATCTTCCAAGACTGAAAAAGGTGTTGGTCTTTCAAGTTAAAATTATTAAATGTTCAAAGCATTCAAAAGTTCAATATTACGTGAATAGTGAAAAGAGAGACAAAAAACTACAAAGTCTTATTCAGATCTAGAAGATTGGACTGCTCAAAAGAGAATAGGGATGCCAATTCAACCCGCCCCGATGGGGAAAACCGATCCCCTCCTTGACGGGGGCGGGTTGGGGGATATTTTTAGGGGATAAGGAGAATTTCCCCATCATCACCAGGGACGGGGAGAATTTCCCCATCCCTGCCGGGGAGGGCATTCCCCGCCTCGAGCCCGTCCTCGATTTCCCTAATAATATTATATTATATTTATATTATATTTATATATAAAAATATATAATAATCAAAAACTTAAAAGAGTTAAAGTCAAAACTCAAAACCCTAGTCTCTATTCATTACATCATTTTCATTTATGCCTCAATGCCTCTACCTTAGTCCTCACTCACGCCATCTCTGTGTCTCTACCTCTCCGCCGTTATCCTAGAGGACCCAAACTTCTGACCTCCTTTCTGTCATCGTCTCAGCTTCCTAGGCTCACCATCGCCATCCCAGCCTCCCAAGCTCATCGTTGCGGGGTCACCATCCCAGCCTCCCAAGCTCGCCGTCATAACCTCTCAAGCTCGTCGCTGCGGCGTCACCATCCTAGTCTCCCAAGCTCGCTGTCGCATCGTCGTCATCCCATTCACTCTGATTCACGCCATCTCTGCCTCTCTCGTCATCATCATCCCAGTCTCCCTCTTTTCCCCTTTTCTGTTTTTTGTTTTTTTTCTCTCTGTTCCTTCATTCTAGATTAAATATTATACAAGTATTTCAGTAGGAAATATAGTGTATTAGTACTCTTTTGTGTTTTTGTTTTGTTTTTTGTTTTGTTTTTTGTTTTTTTGTTTTTTTTTTTTTTTTCGCTTTGAATACTACGTAGTAAATTGTAGATTTCCAGTATCCCCACATGCTTTATTAGTATTTTTAGATTTCCAGTATATCTAATACACACAAATTGTGTTAATTACTAGCCTGTTAATTTAAAAGGTAAATTATAAACTAATTTTATTTGATAATGAATTGAATGTTTTAAATAGTGGCACAAAATGAGGCGGGGAATTCTCTTCCCCGAAAAATTCCTGCGGGGGACGAGGATGTGGAGTAAAAATTATACATATAGTATTATTTGGAAATTTGATAAAATAGGAGTTTTGTGTGAAAAAGTATTTTGGGGTCTCACACTATCAGTCCGCTAAGGACTACAGGGTTGGTCCGTCAGATCCGCCGGCTAGACAGAATAATATCACTTATTGTACCATTCATATTAACATGCCTCCTGATTGGTGAAGATGTTTTCCAGGAGATCAACAGAATTGATCATAACTTAACACTTGTCACCATCCTAGGCCCTTGGCAGTTAGAAGTTGAAATTGTTGTTGTAACTGCCTTTCCCACTCTTTTCTTTCTAAGCTTTTCTCTTCTGCTGTATATATGAACTGGTGTATGCATCCTTGATGGTTAATGAGAATTTCCCTTCTTTCCTTCTCCATTCTTCTTCCACCTTTCATGAGCTCCGCAACATGGTATCAGAGCAGAGTTTTTAGGAGCTTCCATCCACCCTACAATGGCGACAACAGCCTGGCCTTCTCTGAGCAATCGAACACCAGCGACTGATAACACAGCAGCCAGCCCAAACGTCAACACTAACACGATGAATTCAACACCTCCCCCTGCTATTCGGCGAGTGGATTGAATGGAAATGAGGTAACCTTTGACCCTCAATCACAGTCCAATCCCTATTTCCTTCATATCAACGAAAATCCGGCTTTAGAGCTGGCCCCTCTCGAGGGTCCGAACTACCATTCGTGGGCTAGGGCAATGACAATGGTCCTCTCATGTAAAAATAAGGTTCCATTTATCAATGGAAGAATTATGAAGCCTAATGCAGATAACCTAAACAGATATCTAGCCTGGGAAAGGTGCAACAATATTGTATCCACTTGGATTGTGCGCACACTTTCCCCCACCATTGCTCGTAGCGTGTTGTGGATTGACACTGCTTATGGCATTTGGAATGACTTGAAAAGGAGATTCAGTAAGCAAGACTTGTTTCGGATTGCCGAAATCAAGTGTGAAATTTACCAAACCAAGCAGGGGGACAACTCCTTGAATGAGTATTTTACTAGACAAAAGCTTTTGTGGGATGAGCTGAGCATTCTTAGGCCTCAAATGAATTGTATTTGTAGCACAAAGTGTGAATGTGGAAAGAGAATTGATGAGTTAAATGAACAAGTAGAGAAGGACAGACTGACTATCTTTCTCATTGGATTACATGAGAAGTATACACGTGCTAGGAACTAGGTGATGTTGATGAGGCCACTTCCAGATGTTAATGAAGCCTACTCTATGATTGCTCAACAAGAGAGACAATTCCACATGGCCTACAATGGTTTTGGGAGTCAGTTATACCAAGCAAGGGAAAGTAGTACTGCTGCTAGTGCCCTTCTGGCCAGAACAAATACTAACCATCAGCAAGGATTCAAGAAAGCATCAGGGTTCAACAAGAAACCTGTGTGTACATATTGTGGGTTCACAAGTCATACTCAGGACAAGTGTTATAAACAGCATGGATATCCTCCCGGATGGAAACCAAGGCCAAGAAACCAATCTGTGAACCAGATCCAATGTCCACCAGCAACACAGCATCAGAAATCTGATGGGAATATGGCATTCACTCAAGATGATGTGAAAACATTCATGGAGTTCATACATGCCAAGAAATCAGTTGGAGAGAGTCTCAACTCACCTCTGGACCTCAAGCAGCCCTCACACGCTCTTGTCAACACTGTGGCAGTGGAATTCCATAATGAAGGTATGCCTCCTTTAGTAAGTTCTATTAAACATGGTAGAACAGATTGGATTATTGATAGTGGTGCTACACACCATATTGTGTGTGATTTAGAGCTGTTAAACAATCAGAAAAGGGCACAAAATATGTATGTTAGCATGCCAAATGGGCAGCAGGCTGCCATTGATTTTACAGGATCAGTTTACCTATCTGATGATTTGATTCTACACAATGCTCTCTACATCCCTGAGTTCCATTACAACTTGATTTTTGTGAGCTCTTTCATTAAACACTCTAACCACACTGTGAAGATGTACTCTGATCAATGCATTATACAGGATGTTCCCCATGGCAAAATGATTGGAAGAGCTGAGCTGAGAAATGGACTGTATTACTTAGTTTTTCCCATTCCTGCACATCCTGTATGTAGTTCTATTTCAGTTGCAAATAAATGTATTCTATGGCATGCCAGGCTTGAGCATGCCTCACATTCAAAGTTACAATCTTTGAGAGAAATATAACCAGTGATTCAATTTAACAAGGATATGATATGTGACAGTTGCCACTTTGCAAAACAAAAAAGGTTTCCCTTTGAGTCTAGTAGCTCTTTGTCAACTAATTGTTTTGATTTACTATATATAGATATATGGGGTTCTTATAAAGTGCCCACTACTCATGGCCATCATTACTTTCTCACAATTTTGGATGATCACAGTAGAGCTGTATGGATATATCTGATGAAGTCCAAAGCAGAAGTTAGAGGACTGATCATTGAATTTTGCAATCTTATTGGGAACCAGTTTGGGGAAAACATAAAATGTATCAGATCAGATAATGGATTGGAATTTAAGATGGTGGAATTCTTCAAGCAGAAGGGGATCATACATCAGACCTCCTGCACTTACACACCTAAACAAAACAGTAGAGTGAAGAGGAAACATGGTTACTTGCTATCTACTGCTAGAGCCCTAACAGGCCAATTTGCCAGATAAGTTTTGGGGAGAATGCGTCTTACATGCAGCCTATATAATCAATAGACTTCCATCTGCTGCCATCAATAACCAAGTTCCATATCAGGTTCTAATTAAGAGGACCCCATCCTATCAACACTTGAGGGTTTTTGGATGCCTACCATATGCCACCATTGTTGGGCCCAAGACAAAGATGGAATCCAGAGTCAAGAAATGCATTTTTCTTGGCTATGCAGGTGGAACAAAAGGATACAAGGTGTATGACCTTGCCTTCAAAGAGTTATTCATATCTAGGGATGTTGTTTTCCATGAGCTGGTATTTCCCTTTCAACACTCTATAACTCTAGAAGTAGGATCTGAAATCATACTTCTTACTATGATTCCTGCATCTCTTGAGGACCATGAGGTGCCTCATACTCAAGGTCAAGCTAGTAGAGAAAGTGAAAAAGCTTGGCCTCATCAGGATCTCACTCCTCAACAGTCACCAGCTAGGGAGAGTGATCACAACCAATCTCATCCAGCACAACCACCAAGTGAGATGCAAAGTCCAGCAAGCAGTTGTACGTGATGAACATATTGTGTTGCCTCCTGAACTGCCATCTAATAATATCCATAATCCTCAACAACAAGATACCAAGAGATCCACTAGGCACAGGCAAGTTCCAAATTACTTGCAGGATTATATCTGTCAAAGCACCAAGTTAAAAACTTATCCTCATACAATGAGCAAGGTGATAGATTACAGTGGCTTGACACCATCCTTTCAGTCATTTGTGATGAATATATCCCACCAATCTGAACCTAGAAACTACTATGAAGCAGTAAAACATGAATGTTGGAGAAAGTCTATGCAAGATGAGATTAATGCATTGCAGAAGAACAACACTTGGCAGATGGTGGATTTACCTCCCTTTAAAAGGCCCATTGGGTGCAAATGGGTGTATAAAGTGAAATATAAAGTTGATGGCAGTGTTGAAAGATATAAGGCTAGGCTTGTGGCAAAGGGATACAATCAGACCCTTCGCATTGATTACTTAGACACATTCAGCCCAGTTGCCAAGATGACTACCATTAGAACTTTGTTAGCAATGGCAGCAGCAAAGAACTGGGAGCTTCATCAAATGGATGTGAATAATGCCTTCTTAAATGGGGACTTAGAGGAGGAGTCTACATGCAAATGCTTCTTGGATATTCAGGAAACAGTAATAACCAAGTATGCAAGCTAATCAAGTCCTTGTATGGACTAAAACAGGCCAGCAGACAGTGGAACACCAAGCTTACACTTGCCTTACAGAGTATGGGATTTAAGCAGGCAGTCCTTGATAACTCCTTGTTTACTATAGGTAAAGAAGGGTCCTTTGTGGCTCTATTGGTCTATGTTGATGATATTGTGATTGCAAGTGCAAATTTGAAGATTATACAAGAAGTCAAACAGCAACTCAGCACAAACTTTCAAATAAAGGACCTAGGCCCTTTGAAATACTTCCTTGGCCTAGAAGTGGCCAGGCATAGTAAAGGCATTGCAGTGTGCCAGAAGAAATATGCCATTGAGCTCCTTGAAGATACAGGTTTCACAAGTGCAAAACCTGTCTATAGCCCTACAGTCCCTTCACACAAATTGAGCAAAGATGAAGGTGAGCTTCTAGAAGACAACAACCACTACAGGAGGATCATTGGCAAGTTACTTTATCTAACTGTCACCAGGCCTGACATTAGCTTTGCAACACAACAGCTCTCTCAATTCCTTGACAAACCTACAAGTCTGCATCTACAAGCTGCATACAGAGTGCTAAGATATTTAAAAGCAGCTCATGGTCAAGGACTGTTCTTCCCATCCTCTTCTGACTTGTACCTAAAAGCTTTTTCTGACTCAGACTGGGGAGCATGTGTTTATACCAAAAAATCTGTGACTGGCTTCTGCATTTTCCTTGGGAATGCCTTGATTTCTTGGAAGTCTAAGAAACAGCCCACAGTCTCCAAGTCCTCATCAGAAGCAGAATATAGGGCACTAGCAACTACAACATGTGAGATTCAATGGTTAAGTTTTCTACTGACGGAATTTGGAGTACAGAATGATGAGGAGGTGGCCATATATTGTGATAGTAAATCTGCTATTGCAATTGCAGAAAATCCAGTATTTCATGAGAGGACAAAACACATAGAGCTTGACTGCCATCTTGTGAGAGAAAAGCTACACAAAGGACTCATCAAACTATTTCATATCTCTTCTGAAAATCAGTTGGCTGATCCATTCACCAAGACTCATTGTCCAGCTTCGTTTCAGAGTTATGTTTCCAAGCTTTGCTAGATAAATTTATACAATCCAGCTTGAGGGGGGCTTTCAGGAGATCAACAGAATTGATCATAGCTTGAGACTTGTCACCATCCTAAGTCCTTGGCAGTTAGAAGTTGAAATTGTTGTTGTAACTGCCTTTCCCACTCTTTTCTTTCTAAGCTTTTCTCTTCTGCTGTATATATGAACTGGTGTATGCATCATTGATGGTTAATGAGAATTTCCCTTCTTTCCTTCTCCCTTCTTCTTCCACCTTTCATGAGCTCCGCAACAATGTTCCCGATTCACCCGTGGAATCGCCCAAACGAAACATCGCCCGGTCGGTACGCCCAAGGTCACCCGGTCGGTCTAAAGTGCGACGCACTTTGCAAGTTGGAAGGTTTAGCTTATGCTACAAGTAAAGGAAACCTACTTGCACCTGCAGCAACGACGGCTGACAACTTGCAGAAATGATAACTTTGTTGTCTCAAACAATCAACCTACACATAGTTGTAGATCGACCGCTCAGCTGAGCCAACGAGAACGTGTCACATCAAACAACTTGCATTTGGAGCATTAAATACTTAGCCACCTTGCTTAGAATAAATAGGAGTGTCCTCCCCTCACTCAGGATATTCAGTACTCTGTAACATCACTCCACTTGTGATTTACTCTACATTGTAATCTATTTCACTTGTAATCACTCGTTACTTGCAATAGAACAAAGCATCGGTCCATCGTCACCTAGTAGAATAGCCAACCGACTGAACGAACGAGTGCCGTATTTTAATTGTTCATCATATACGTATTTGTAGCGTACTCTTGAGCCCCTGTCCCATTTACACTATCAGATCAATACCTAATTTTTTGGTGAGTATGGGACCAAAAGCCATCAAATAGAAATTGTAATTCTAAGTATAGAATTATGGGGAAAAAATCAATATCTAAAGTAAAAGAAAAAAAAAAACTAATTTTGACATTAATAATTTTTATTTATCTCTTTCACCATTACAATTCATGATCAAGTAATCATAAATTAGATTAAAAAAATTAGTAAGCAAATTTTTTTCTTTCAAAGTAATCCAAACTTTCTTTTTAATATTTCGAAAATCAATGATTTAGATTAAAAAGATAGAAGTCCAAAGGTAAGATTTATTGACTTTGGATTTAACTACTTATATTTTAAATCGTTTACTATTATGTATTGTGATTTAATTTATCTATGACTTAGTATTAAGTATTAAGTGAAGAAGAAAATAGACTAGCTTTTACGTACGAATCTCAACTGAAGCACAAATTGTATTTTTGAGAAATTCGAATATGTTTTGTAAAGGATACATGCTTATGGAGACATTCAAGTTAATTTTATCTTCACAAAAGAATAACTTGTAGACATATTTACTAAATCTTTACCTAGTCCTGGATTTTCTTTTCTTAGAGACACGCTACATATTACTAGTATACCATGTGCTTGAGTATGAGTATTAGAACTAGTATTAGGACTCTTTGTATTTGAGTACTCTCTATCCTAGTCTTCTTATAATTCTCTCTTATATATATATTCTCCCAATTTTTACAGTTATAATTACATTCTTTCAATACAATTCTATCAGTATCATCAAAAAGCCTAGGCTTTAATTGTCCCTTTAAAACTAAATGGGGCTATTTGAAAATTTTGAAACACAAAGGAGTTATGTGCAATTATCATTTCACCAACTAGAAAACTCGTCCTCAAATTTAACGTGATATAATAATATAATCCCAATATTTGACAATCATAGGAAGAAATGGGAATCTCGGCTTCTAAACGAGTCGGCCGGTACCTCCACAAATCGGCCGAGTTCAACTCAGCCTGCGACTCAGTCTACGACGATTGCCTCTCCCTCGCCCAGCACGCCTTCGACGGAGTCAAGCCTTACCAGCTCGTCTCCGCCACTGAGCGCCTCCACAGCAAGCTTAGCGACTCCATCCCTCTCGTCGCTAAATGGGTCCAATCCGCCCCGACCCGCGCCCAGGTCGACAAGGCATTCAAGGCCGTCAGATCCGACAGCGAGGCCGTGCTTGGGAACAGTGAGTTCAGAGAGTTCGCCGTGGAGGTTTTCGCGGACGCCGTCGCTTCGGGCGCCGGGCAGGCGGTTTGGACGCGGGTTCCAGTTGGGGTTGCGGGTATCGCTGGTATTGGGATGTTGGTGAAGCCCGGAAGGGAATTTATTGCGGCCGCCATTGGAGCGTACACGCTTGGTGTAACAACTTCTATTTACCTCAGCTTAGATGCCTAAAATGCTAAATACTTCTCCCAAATGCTAAATACTGTCTTTAAACAAGGATGGATGGTTTATCTAATTATTCATGAGACTTGATATATATTTATTTTGAATTTGTTTCATATGTGGATCAAATGTAATGGAATTATAATTTTAATTTAGAGTGAATTCCATTTTTGATTTTAGATATATAGGTGACATTTTATTTTTAGTCTTTTTTTTTTTTAAAAAAAGTCTCAATTTAGTTCTAGGATTATTGTGGCAAAATTATTTAAAAAAATAAAAATAAAAATAAAAATAAAAATAAAAATAAAAATAAAAATATATCTAATCAACCTATTTTAATTTATATATAAGAGATATAAAATTTTATTGTATTTAACGTCATTTCAACGATTTTGTTGATGGAGGACAAAAAATTGTAATGCCATAATAATATTAAGACCAAAGATGAATATTCTAATAAAAAAGAACTAACGGGCCGTTTGGCTCACGGAATGAATTTGGAGGGAATAAGAATGCTATTCCATAGGGAATAAAATAGGCAAGGAATAGAATAGGAATTATATTCTGTTGTTTGGTTCGCTAAAGAAATAGACATTGGGAACTGTATTCCAATGTTTGGTTGGTTAAGGAATAGGAATAGAATATATGTTTAAAAGACATAAATGCCCTTGTACAAAAACCATTATTATTATTATTATTATTATTATTATTATTATTATTATTATTATTATTATTATTATTACAACAACTATTATATATCATCATCATCGTCATATCAAGTGATTAATACTCAAAATAAAGTAGTCATATAAATAACAAACTTTTGTAAAGAACATTTAACAATATTCAAAAGAAGCATAACATATGTTATTTTTAACAAAATACTCAAAACAATCCAATGCAAGTTACAATGTTCATAAAATGATTAATTGATAGCAAGGAATCTTCTGATCCATTGTAGTCTTCGATCAGGATCATGACTGAGAAAGAAAGCTACTTTATTAGGATGATCAATGAGCTTAAACGAAACAAGGTCCATTTCATCATTTGCCAAACCATCAACCTCTTTTAATGCACGTTCAAGCTTCTGAAACATATCCATATCACGATCATATTGAAGACCATCAGACAGATTCTTACCAACCTCTGACATTGTATTGCTTATTAGCTTCGCAGCATTAAGCATATTCTTAGCACATATCTCAATAGCTTCATCATGACTCCTCTTTCTCTTACTTGAATTGCTTCTTTTTCTACCATCATTTTGTGGCTCAGGTTGTGTACTCGTTAAATCAATATCATCCAAACCAACAAATGCACTATCTTCTGTGTCAGCTCTTATATCATTCTGTTCTTCATCTTGTATTTCTTCAACTACGTCATCTGCTGTCTGTGCATCTTTTCCAGTTGCACGATCTTTAGAATATATTGGCAGTATTGCAGATAACTCATTATAAAACCTAAAGCTTCTTGTTCTAAAAGGGGCAGCTTCTTTGTGACTCTATAATAAACATAAATAAATTATTTGTATGTATACATTAATAAAAATAAATGAAAGTACAAAAAAAAAAGTAAATACTTACAATTAAGTATGACTCCCAAATTGCATCTTCAGCATACACCATGTGCTTTTGATCATTCCAACCAAACCCACTAGTGTTCTTACCTTGCACCATATCATGAATAATGGTCCATTCTTTTTTCAAAGTTTTAATTCTACTCTCAATATGTGGCCTAGCTTTTATGGTACAATTTGGTATTTTGTTCAAAATCATTCTTTCAAGTTCTAATAAATAACCTGTCTTAAACCCTGTATCGGAATTAAATTTTCCTACAGTATGCATTTCAGTCAAACAGGACACTAATATAATGTCTTCTTCGGGTGTCCACTTTCTTTTTGTTTGCTTAACACTTTGAGATCCAATGGTTGCAGAAGTAGGGGGAGAAGCCATTCTTAACTACAAATAAATTGAAATAATAAATTATTCATCAAACTCAAACACATTACATTGTTCATAAATCACATTACAAAAAAACACCAAATCAAGAACATGTCCTTAATTTCTAGATGATATCCATTCATTGAACATGTCATTTGTTAATTCTGTCCTCCAATTATTCCAAACTTCTGAAGGCTCTATTTGTGTGACATCATCATCTTCATGTATGACGTTACTTTCTAGGCAATTCTAGAAATAATATCAAATATTATTAAATATATACTCACATTGTAATTAAACTTATAACTCAACTGTAGGGATACGTTTAACTACCTTAAACCATTTCCATCTATGATCTGTAGAGGTAGCTAGAACTGGCTCAGAATCTTTGAATAAATGATTTCGGAGTTTCAAAACAGCATTCAATACTATATTAAAGTATCAACTAATAGTTTCCCCCGACCTTTGAAAATTATTTTGAATGATCCTATTTTTTACGTGATGAGCAATAATATGTAAAAATATGGCTACTTGCGCATCAACAAGCATATTTCTTGTTGGCCTTAACCCTCCTATAGTTTGTAACATTGCACACAACTTCACAAAAGCATGTCGATTCATCCTAAGTTGAGATATGCATTTTTCATCACACGAATACACAGTTCGTAACATATATTCTCGAGACCCTAAAGTATTTATAATATAAGATTTCACTCGTTTTTTATTAGAACACAAAATTGTCAAGGTTGACATCATCATGATAAACAATAAACTCACAGAAGCACACATATCCAACCATACACGCAATACAGCTACACATCTTTTCCTTCTTTCAGTACGAGTTATTAAACGCAATCGAGCCATAACTGCAAATTTAATTTAAAACTTACAATAACTTATACATATTATAATAACACTACGGTAAAAAAAAAAAAACAATAACATTGCTATGACAAAAAATAAAACCAAATAAACAATAACACTTTTCAGCAAAAAAAAAAAAAAAAAAAAAAAAAAAAAAGACAATAAACAATAAACTAAACTAAAAACCAAAAAAAAATAAAAAACTAAGTCAAGGACCCATCCATTTTCAATTCCTGAGTAAGTATTACAATTCCTAACTAAGTATTACAATTCAATTCAAGATAAAAAAAATTCAATCTTTTCTTTCATTTTCACCAATTTCTATGTTAAAGATTATCTGTGTGTCAACCTTAATCTTAACTAAATAAACTTTGATTGATATTAGATGGTAAATTATTAGATGAACATATCATTATCTGGTACTCCCACCAAATCTATCATTATAGAATCAAACTAATTAAGCTGACTCTTTGAGTCGATGCCTGCTAACGGAATTCCTTACTTTGGACCTAAAATCTTTTGTCATTCTATATAAATTTTGTGATAATTACATTAATAATATAATAAACTAAACTAATTAAAAAAAAAACATTAAACAAAACTGCTGCGGCTGCAGAACCCTCCGCGCCGCAGCAATGTGTGTGTGTATATATATATATATATATATATATATATATATATATATATATATATATATATATATATATATATATATATATATATATATATATATATAATTATGTATATATAATTAAATATTTAATTGGTAAAAAATAAAATTCTGAAAATTTACCTTTGATGTCGCAGAAAGATTTGCTTGATTTTGATGTTGATGATGCTTTAATTTGATCTGGCTGGAAAAATTGCTTGACTTTGATGTTGATGATGAAGGAATCGATGATGATGATGAAGGAATCAGAAAGGATAGAATGATTCGTAGGGAGAGAACGGCGAGAAAGATAAGGTTAAAATTGAAAAAAAAAAATATTCTATTCCTGAGGACTCAGGAATAAGTTAATACCAGGGGGGCCCTGGTATTAGCTATTACCTCATCTGAGGTAATAGGCTATTACTAGGAGCAGTATTCCTAGTAATACACATTGTTACCAAACAGAAGAATAGGTCTGTTACTGGGAATGCTATGTCATTCCCAGTCTATTCCGTGAACCAAACGGACCATAAAAGTTGATTGTCACCTATAAATCTAAATTAAAAATGGAGTACATTCTTTGATTTAAATGTAAGTATTACTCTAATAACTTATCATCTAGCTAATTTTGTATTATCTATTTTTTAAATTTTAATTTATATTTTTAATGTTTTGGATGAGAATTGTATAACTGTATTAGATGAACAATGATTACAATTGCACAGAGGGAATATATACAAGAGAGAATCAAGATAGGGAGTCATAATGTGACTCAAACACATAGAGTCCTAACACTCTCCCTCAACCACAAGGTATACTAGTAACCTGTAGCTTATCTCTAAGAAAAGAAAATCTAGGACTGGGGAGTAATCTTTTGTTGAGATGAAATTAACTTGAATGTCTCCAGAAGCAACTCTATCTCGATTAAAGTGATAGTCAATTTCCACGTGCTTGGTACGAGCATGAAAGATGGGATTTGCACACATATAGGTAGCACCAAGATTATCACACTACAACTTAGGAATAGAGATACCTGGCACCTTGATTTCACATAGTAACGAGACTAACCAAATTACCTCAACATAGACATCTGCTAGAGCCTTATATTCTGTTTCAGTAAAAGATCTATCAACAATTCTTTATTTCTTGTAGACCCAAGAAATAAGATTGGATCTAAGAAACACAGCAAAACCACTAGTGGATTTTCTATCTTCCGAACAGCCAGCCCAGTCAGAATCAGAGAACGCATGGAGTTCTCTCGAGACTGACTTCCTGATACGTAGACCAAAACTGATAGTTCCCTAACATACCTTAGGACCCGTTTCATATGTGGATCAAATGTAATAAAATTATAATTTTAATTTAGAGTTAATTCCATTTTTTTTATTCCTAGATTTATAAGTGACATTCTACTTTTAATTTTTTTTTTTCAAAAGGTCCTCATTTGATCTTAGTGTTATTGTGGTATGCTCATTTTTTGTATTTATCAACAAAGCCATTTAAATGCCCTTAAATACAAGAGTGTTTCAACCTCTAAATAAAGATTTTTTTCAAAA